AATTAGAACCATTATCAAACAGTCCACCCCAAAGCGAAAGATGATATATTCATAATATAATTCACACTGAAAATGGTTGTCAGACACGCACATGATAGTGTGAGGGATAACGTCAGATAAAATAGGATGAGCTCCTTTTGCTCACATAAACAGCTCCCTCAGGGTCCAAAATCTAAAATGAAAAAGACTAGGAATCAATTTCAGTAAAAATACAAATGTGAACTCACAAAAAAAAGCCACTGTCAAGATTTCTGAGGGCCTTTTAGAAGTTGTAAAATGGGGCAAAGGCTAATGGGAGAGGGGAGTCAGCGTGCCGCTGGGTACCTGGTCCATTAATGTCAGTCACGAGACACAAGCTGCTACTTACTACTTACATCTGTGTTTCCACCAGAAATGAACACATGAATTTAAACAGCAGCAGAAGTGGACACAGGATTCAAACAAGGAGAAAAAAGGTCAACAACAGAGATGGGCGCTTTCAAAAAATAGCAAGGGGAGGTGGGCCATTTAAATCCTTCAGGTTCAATAAATGTCTGGCTCAAGGGCACAGTGTTGTACCCTCCCAGCTTTACTGGCCCATATTAAGGACTGTAGGGGGGTATGGGTGGTTGGTCTTGTTAAAGACAGTACTTCACGTGTCATTGGTGAAGATACTGATGTGGGGACTGTTACAATACCTCATAAAACTCTCTCTACAAGGGCACGGCAACACAAACACAAGCTCTGTTCCACAACCTAGAGTTGTGTGCTGCCCACAGACAGCATTTTACAACCTAGGCTCATTGAAAACAAACTCCCAAAACTTACCTATACATACAATTCACACACTTTTAAGCTAAAATGAACACTAGTGGCAGTTAAACACCAACTATTTTCATTCCTTTTCACGTGTATTTCAGAGACAAAAAGGACTTATTTTTGAGTTGTTACTTGTATAATCTTATGTCATGACATTAAAACACTTTTATCATATTGCATGATAGTAAACTAATATACAGTGCCCGGCCAATTTTTTTTTTAATTGCTGTTTGGATCTAAATAGGCAAATGTTTAAGAGTCGATGACTGGATCATTATTGCAGTGATTACTATGTGTCTAGCAGGTTATATGTTTGGCAACAGTTCTTCTAACCCTAATTGATGGAGTGTGTATCTTTTAATTTCTTAAATAACCATGTAAGAAGAAGACACATCGTGGCCATATTCCAGGACAACAATGCCAAGATTCATCAGGCTCAAATTACGAAAAAATGGTTGGGAGGGAGCATGAAGAATAATTTTCACACATGAATTGGCACCACTGAGTCCAGACCTTAAATTCATTGAAAGTCTTTGGGATGTGCTAGAGAAGACTTTACAGAGTGCTTGACTCTTGCATTGTCAATACAAGATGAACAAGTATTGTTGTTAGTAGGGGTGTAACAATATATCGTGCCACAATGTATCGCAATACAAAAATGCAACAATACGTATCGTGGATAGTGACAATATGTATCGTGGATCGTTCCCCCAAAATAACAATTTGTGTGAGAAACAAATGTGTTTTTTTCAGAGTTTTAGTGTCAGTACTACATTAAACTACTATACATAATGTTGATTATAATGTATAATAATGCAATGGGGGAATATTTGTGTGTCCTGATAATGCCAAATGTCTTATGTTACCAGTAAAAAGTGTCCAACATTATTTTAAATATATCTAGTCAGTGACAGAGTGCAAGCATATTCATCTAAAATAATTCTGTATTTTCAGCTTCAGAATCATGAATATTTTTATTCTGGTGTCACCATTGTCCTTGGGTTACAAGCACCAAGTCCAAACCTATTCATTTAAACCCACAATGTAATATCAAAGTTAGCATTTTAATCAACAGTACATGTTTTGTTAACCTTTTATCATATGTCTTGGAGTATCGCAATAATATCATATCGTGAGTTCAGAATCGTGATATGTATGGAATCGTGACATGAGGGTATCGTTACACCCTTAGTTGTTAGTAGTAGCACATTTAATCATTTTAGATCAAATCCAAAAAATTTTGGGTGCAGCCTTCTCAGGTTTAAAGGTTCATTACATATTTATACACTGATATAAATACACAATATACTGTATACACACACAAACACTGGCATACTGTCTTGGTGACAGTTATCTTCCACGGATATATGTTGATGGACAGCTTCAAAAATACACTCTGAACCATGTTTCCAAAGGCTTCACCAACAATAAATTCACACATGCATATGTACAAAAAACACAGATGCCAGTACAGTGATCGGTCGAGGGCCCTCGACGCCTGCAGACACTGAAATCACATCAAGGGCAAAGGCATTACACACTACACGCGACGGTGTTGACATATTCATTGTGTTCACAAAAAGATGGATTTCCGGAGAAACACCATTAACATTGGCTTCCATTTTCCCTCTCTCAGCCTAAACTGTGCTCACAATGTTTAATTTGGCTCATAAAGAGGAGCCTGGAGCGTGTGTCACATCAAGTTCTGTGGAACAGACCATGAGATGAAGGGCTTTTTCCCTTTATTTAAAAAAAAAAAAAAAAAAAGAAAGAGAAAAAAAAGTGCTGGCTTCAGCTAAGGTGGAGCTGATATTGTGATTATTATGCTGACTGTAGCCGGAGGCTAAAGATATTAGCTTTACTCTAAATTCTCTCTGGCTCTCATTTTGGGCTTTTTTCAAAAAGTACCAGTAAGGTCAACTTTGTTTCACCAAGGAGTCTTCGGATTTGAGCAGTGTGGGCTGTAACATCAATTAACAAGCTCATTAGCTGTCTAATTTTAATAATCTTCATTATGTGCCTTTAATGAGGGATGTCTCGAGTGAGGCATATCCTGCAAACAATTACTGTGTGTGAATTTAACCTTCTCTCCTTCCACCTGCCATGGCACAGATGACATTAACACACATTATGGCAACATGGGCAAGAACTGCAACAACAACAAAAAGGTTGTGTAGCATAGGCTGTAACATGTTTTGAATGCTACAATGGACATTCATGGACATACATGGACAGTAGTGTTGTTGTAGTGATTGTTTTACATGGGCAAAAGTTTGGATTTCATTATATTCACCAATACTGGGTAAATAGTACATTTTCCAGTAGCTTGAAATAATTTCAGTACTAAATGAAATATAACTATATATTTATTAGGCATTCACCAATAATAAAAATCAGACAGATAAGCCGATAAGTGGCAATATAAAAAAACTAAATTATTTTGTCTAATTAAATCAAATATAAAACATTTGAAAACTAAAATCAATTGTTTAAAATTGTACAAGTGAATTTAAGCATCACAGCATTACAATGAAAAATAACATAAATAACATGAAAATGTATAATCATTTTGAGATTTATTTAGGATAGAGTTGTTAATAAATGATTAGTGTTTTTAAAAATGAACTTTACCATTGTCATCATCTACACCTACATGAACAATTAAGTATCAAATATCGACCAATACCTCTAATATCAGCTGATAAATTATATGATAATGGTATATTGTGCATCCCTAATATTTAGTCAATATTACTTTAAATGCATTTTTCTTACAATTCATTCTGGGTTTGTATTTTCCACAGGGTGCGTTCACATTCAGCAGGTTTGGTTTGATTAAAATTAACTTCAGTGCAATTTCTCTGTTAGTGCAGTTCATTGGAATATGTGTGAAAGCTGCCATCCAAACCCTAATGAGCACCAAACAAGCAGACCGAGACCCACTTGCGGTGTGGTTCGACTGAAATATGAACACAACACATACTAAAGACATCTAAACAAACCAAAAACAGGATGTGATGTCAGAAGATGTGATCCTAAAAAGGACAGAATGCTCAAGAATACCTGGTTCTTCTCATCGCAGGAGCAATGTTACCCATTACAGTTTGGTACAGGCGTCCAAACCGCCATCTCCTTGAAGTAGATCTTTATTTGTGTGCAACGGTGGAATTCCTGTCTCTGTTTTGACTCCTTTTAGCTCTTCGTGAGTTCTCAGCTGGTAAAAAAATACCATCATATGTGCGCACATACAACAAGCACATACAACACAGCATTGGTTTGGATGTTTGGTAAGATCCGTTGCAAAATATACAACATAAAAGTATTTTTTTATTTTATCTTCATGTTCAGTGTTAAAAATGACAGTGTTAACCAGGACTAAATGTATCATTTTCTTTTTTGGTTCTAGAACAAAAGAACCAAGAGAACCAAACTACATGTGTAAAGATCTTCACGGGTCTACTTGGATCCAAAAATACGAGGTCTGACCCAAGTCCTGAGCAGGCTTGGGTCCAAAACTTTTACCTTGGATGCGGGTCAGGTCTGATATTAGTAGCCTCGGGTCTCTGGTAAATTTAAAAACAAATTTGCTTTTACCGAATGGACCAAGAAGATCTGAATTATTTTAAAATATTTAAAATAAAAAATCTCCCCCATTAGTTTCAGGTGTTTAACAATATATTATTATTTAAAACAAATGCATATTAAATAATTGTATGACAATGTTATTTTACCCCTTCTCTGTCAATACACACTTCCATGTAGCCTCCAGGATACTGGTCCATGCAGCAGAGGCGCTCACTTCCCATAAACCAAATACACAAGCCATTCCCGAGAATGAGTTTGGGGATTTGCTTCTTAATATTAAAATACATATAAATTTCCTTGTCATTTGAGGTGAAACATAATGCTTATGATTATGTTTTATCTACTTGGAGATGCTCGCCCAAGTGGAAAAACAATGTATACTGTTGCTAGATCGTTTGCAGAAAACCATCTAAATGCAGTTAAGGCCAAACTTTCGGGTCCAATCGGGTTAGAAAAAAATTGCCGTCGGGTCGGAATCTGGTCTAATTTTACCTGGTTTGCCTCAGGTCGGGTTTTTCTTTTTAAAAGACCTTAATGCAATGTTTTAAACACAACAATTAAAGGGCCGAAATGAAGCATCTTAAAGAATGATCAATAATAGTTTGGCCCATGTTTACCTCATGCCTCTGGTGGAGCGGTTGTTGTAGTTCTGCAGCAGCTGAGGCAGGCCCAACATGGCTTCAAACATCACCGCCAAAGAGCCCAGGGCCTCCACAAATAGGACCCAGTCCAGAAAGAGGAATGTTATGAAAGCACACAGCAACATGAAGGCAAAGCAGAACACCAGATAGTCCTCAAAAGAACTCCAGCTCCAGAAATACCGAAGGTCCAAATCTGGAAGAGAGACAAAGAAATAAAAAGATAAAAAGAAATATTCTCCATGTATTTCATTTACAGACAAAAGGATATCTCCAAGCATCTTCTCTATAACACTACCCAAGAAAAAAGGGAAAGGGAAACTTTGAAGCATTTTATCATTAGTATGCATATCACAATGCTGAACACCTCACACAAACTCTCTCACACTATGAAAAGTTAAATGAGCTTTGAAACCTGTACGCCTCTCTCTGCAATTCTGCATTATATAAAGAAACCCATTAACGACAACTCAACATTTCATTTACAATTTTCCTGAGAGCCATAAAATAAATGGCCAGGCTCTACAGGGGAACACAGCCAAACATTCAGCAGTGAAGATTAAGCACTCACATAAAATAAAGACACAAAACCATGAATGTAATTGAGTCCAAGGCAAAGAACACCATATGTATTACATATACACTACTGTATGCACATGGATATATATACAAAAGTTTAGGGGCAGTACAATTTTCTTTTTTTATTGTTTTGGAAAGAAACACTGAAGATTGAAGTGATGGCCACTGAAAATGTTGCATCGCCATTGTAATATAACATCAGGATATAAAGTGAAAGTGATGTAGATGATATAATGGGACATCCGAACACAAGTGGTCACAGGAGACATATTTGAAATGTGTGATAATACCAGGTGAAAATGGTAATGTGTCTTCTTGGCTGATCATCACCATCTTAATACCAAGTGGAAACAGTGTTTCTGTCTCACACGCTCGATTTCTGTCTCACACGCTCGGGAGCCGCTATCAATATGCTGGAGACTCCCAGAACTTCCAGGAGGGGTGGGATGTCTTTGGATAGATACATAGATTATTTTATAATATATACAATTATAATATATATATACAGAGATTATACAGAGACTGCAACCTAGATAGACAGACAGATCCTATTTTAACGATCTAAGTACATGCTATAAAGCGAGTATAAATAATGGCAAGTGCACGTAGGGCATGACCGAATCTACTTTTGCTAGTTTAACGATGGGAAAAATGGTCAGCACGCCCGGCGCATGGTCTAAAAGGGTTGTCCCTATTCTCTTAAAGGTGAACTAAGTAACTTTTTTACCTTAACCGAACAGCTTTGGAGTCATTGTAATGTTTATATTACGGATTTCGTGTTGAATGGTGGTCGTCTCGCACCCCCCTGGTGCCTGTGAGCCGCAAAACCACCCTTGCAACTTTGGGCCGGCGGGCCGCCGGCCTCAGTGTTAGGAAGTATCGTGTGATATCATGTGATATCAGGTCTCAGGTATCAGGTATCAGGTAACGAATTGCAACGATATCAGGTAACGAATTGCTTTACGGCAAAAAACAGATCTGATAAAATTCTGATAAAATGACCATCAAACAGAAATAACCCGGCGCCGTATACATGTGGTGTTCGAGGCGCACATACAATACAGACTGCCGACAGTTAAACAGGGCGCGCGCAGCTCTTAAAGGGGCCATACCTTATTTCCACTCGTTACAGCGTCCATCCTACTGAACAGGTACCGGTGTACAGGGGGAGGGGATCCGGCCGTGAGTCCGAGCCATCTCTGCGTGAGTGCTATTCACGACAGTACAAGTACTCCACAGCGACTCTAGAGGTCGCTGTTTGACAAAAACGGAATTCCTACTTAGTGCTGCTTTAATGAGTAATGGGTGTGTTTTGGGCGTAATGTGCAATAAACCAATCAGAGTCTTATCTCCCATTCCCTTTAAAAGCCAGTTGCGCTCGCACCATAGCGGAAAGATAAAGCACGCAAGCAGACCATCTACGGTACAAGCCGGACTCTACCATATCTTTATGTACACAATAATAATCTTTTACATTGTAATTCTTTTATTTTATTTTTTTATTTTATGCTGCCCGTCCCTGTGTGTGTAAAAGGCGTTTTGCACCCGCCTCTTAAATAACAAGAAAAATATTGCGCCATTGACTTTAGACCAGGTTTTTGTTGGTCAATGGCACAGTCTATTTCATTTGCCTTAAAATAGCAACACGCCAATAATGCGCCTGAACACACCTCGTTTTCAGGCCAGCACACCCATGGGAATACAAATGGGTGCAGATGCATTTGCTATTTGAACGAACAAACGACAGACAGACAGACAGACAGACAGACAGACAGACAGACAGACAGACAGACAGACAGACAGACAGACAGACAGACAGACAGACAGACAGACAGACAGACAGACAGACAGACAGACAGACAGACAGACAGATAGATAGATAGATAGATAGATAGATAGATAGATAGATAGATAGATAGATAGATAGATAGATAGATAGATAGATATCCTTTTAATTATTATCAAAAATGGAAATATTTTTAGAATATATGGCAAATGTAGGACATGTTCTGTCCAGTCTCTCAAATACCAGTAAGGAGACAAAAAAGACACAGGATAGTGAAGACAGGCTTCTTCGTCACATTGGTCATCTCTACATTAGTGATCACGCACCATGTAAGACATCCTGACATGATCAATGACTACCTGTCTCTCTCCCATACTGATAGCACAGGATCTTTAAATGAGCTGACATCAGCTCCAGAGAATTGATAGCTAAATAATAGCCCTATTTGTTACAGCTCTGACTGGAGTATCACGTTGAGTGGTAGAGAGCCCACAGCACACGCTGTCATTTAGTAGGTTTTATGCTCTGATTACTTGTATGCATCTACCTGACAGGCACCGGTACAGTAGTGTGGCTGCTTAGCCATCCGCTGCTCGGAAACATTAGCATGATTGTGTTGTAAAGGACATCTCAATGTGCGTGTTTGTGTAATTAATGCATCATATTTTTAGAAAACTCACAGCTTGAAATGGGAGTACAGATAGGATCAGGAATTAGAAAATACGGAAATCACATAAAAGTTAAGTGCTAAGCTAGGAAGGAAAGTACAAGAAAAAGCAAACCCTCAATCTTTCTCAAATGTACATAACTAACAGATCACTGCTTGTTCCTTGAGGAGAGATCTGCTGTTATTTTTCTAAACAAATGAACTGACAGACAATATAAAATACAAAACACACACGCCACAAAATTACACAGAACAGGTCATCCAAACCATAATTTTGGACCAGAATGTCATAGATTCTTGCTTCTTTCTTTTTTTTCGAAACCTGCAAACAACCAGAACACCCTAGAAACCGCTTATAATATGCCATCATCCTTCATCCTGGCTGATGTGCAAGCTATAACCTGTCATGCTCCAGAATGTCTTGTTATCCACTGGTGGCATTCAACAGAACGGTCACACTTCAAAACAGAATATAAGGAGCAAAAAACAAGAGCAGAGCCTTTTCTTCTCAGATGTCCACAGATCAAACATATCAATTACTATAGCATCTATCAATGTCGGAAGTTTGGCTTAACCTTTGTATTTTCAGTGGCTCTATTCTCTGAAAAAAAAAAAAAAAAAAAAAACTCACATCAGTGAGGCTTTCAGGCCACAACATCTGCAGATACAAGAGGTCTTACCTCCCTACTGCTTTATGAGGGCAGGCATAAGGAACATTTGGAGAAACCTTGGTAACACTTTATTTTGATGGTCCCTTTTGAACGTGCTGTTGACTATAAGTAACTTTGCAACTATATGTCAACTAACTCTCATCAGAGTATTAGTAGATTGTCTGCTTAATATCTCCAAACACTTTATTTGTGATGGTCCTCCAACAGACACTCTACTGACTATAAGTAATTTTGCAACTGCATGTCAACTTAATCTAACCCTAACCCTACCAGTCTATTAATACTCAACTAACACTCTAATGAGAGTTAGTTGACATGTAGGTGCAATGTTACTTATAGTCAACAGTATGTGTTAAAGGGACCATCAAAATAAAGTGAAACCGAAACGTTTGTTCCAAAGGTCTGTAGGCTGATGAAGCCTTTCTTATATTCTGTCCGTGCCTGGATGTAGAGGTTGAAGCAAGGGCCCTATGTCCATTTTTGCTGGCTCTGCCCATAAGCTGCACACTCAATGCCATTCAAGGCTATTTTGAAGTCGTCCAGTTTGCAGAATTCCATGAGTGTTTATTTATACACAGATTCATTTTGCATGCATGCATGATCATGCATATTAATTTGCAGATGCACATGTCTCTGGTATGCTATGAAAGCTTGATTATGTGCTACCACAAAACAGTGAATGCTAAAGCAATAAATATGTAAGACTGGAAAAACTGGAAGAACTGGAAGAAAGGGCTACTCTCTGAGAAAACAAAGGAAATTAACATTTAAACTCTCTCTTGTGAAGTTAGCATCACTATTTGATCATCCTAATCTACATGTCTTTCCCTCTTCCCCCATTCCTTCTCTCTCTCTCATGAGATCACCAAAATTCACCCAAAAATCTATATGGTTTAATGTGAATAATTATCATACAGTATCACTGCGACTGGTACAAATGTCTCATTCCCAAAGAATTAAACCAAAAGGTAACAAAGTTTTTAGAGTTTGGAGATAACTTGCACACAGAGAAGGGTGTGTCTTCCAGGCAAATGGCATCCTGCCCAAAAAGTGTAAACTCTGAATGCAAATTCCCATTGTTAGCAAATGTTTCCATGTGAAACAAGTATCTGTCTATATAAAGAAATGCAACGAGAGGCTCAGCGCGATTTGTAGCTCAAATTAGCCCGTGATGCAGAGTGTGGGCAAGACACTCAGCATCATGTATTTTCTAATGTCAGGTTCGCATCTCTTCTCTTTATTCCAGAGCATTTGATGTGTTGTATTTATTATCTATGAACTGATTATGAAATTGGCATGATACATTTACCTGACATAATAAATTGTAAATATTTGATTTTATTCTGACTGACTCTGAAATTGTTTTCCCAAGTAGATTAAACGGATTCGCATGTTACCCCAAGTCTGCGTCAGATTAGTCACAACTAATATTTGGCACTAATTCAAGTGTACTTGGTTCGCAAAGTGAATTTCCATTTAGAACAGCAAAAATG